ATGAGACCAAGAAATGAAGCATTATTAGTTCTTAAGTGCACAATAGTACATGGAGTTAAAATATTCTTTAACTAATAATTTAAAATCTATCAGATGTAATTTCCTTTGCACTGATTTTACAAGTAAAGAGGAAATTGTTTTTTGTCACTCCTGAGAGTGAAGAGGTTAAACTATTCCCCTGCTACTACTTTTCTTAATGGAAACCTTGCACATAGCATTGGTATTGTTGGGTAATCTTAAACTCAGTCTCTTGTTTGGCCATCAGTTTTGGCTATGCTATCATTTATTTTGAACATTTGGCATTACATTCTTAGGTATGTAACTTAACATTTCATTTTTCAGTGGGCTTGGTTACATAGTTGGAACTGAGGTTGCTGCTCTGTTTGGCCATCAGTGGCAATGGGGACTACGAGTAAGTTTCTTCAGTTGATAAAGTGCTGATAGAAATTGTGGGATTGAAGCAAACTTTCTCTGTTTAATGTTGTTAACTGTGTTAGATGTTGTGTAGTTTAATGCAGTTTGACAAGGTTACATGTATATCTAGATTCTGTCTGTGAATCATTTGTTTAAAAGTTGATCTGGTAGTAGCTTTCATGATCAAATTCAAAGCTGTGTTTTGTTTGCATTTTTTAAAACTACAGCTTTGTTCATTCCATTAGATTTTTTAGCCAGTGAACCTGGAGAAGCTCTATCAAAGACAAACACTTAAATTGAAAGAAGAGTAATTGTTATCACAGGTCAGAAATCATACAGTGAGTGGATAGTTGTACCCATATTCTTCCATTATTGTTTTATTCCCAGGTGACCCCCATCATAGGTGCAGTGTGTGTTTTCCTGTGCATATTTGTAGTTCATGAACCAAAAAGGGGTGCCATAGAAAGAGGAGAGAACCCTCATGGTGTCTCAGCTTCTGATGTTCATAACACAACCAGCTGGTGGGCAGACCTCAAGTATCTTGCAACAGTGTAAGTACCATGCTAGTTGGTAGTCACCATAGTAGATCTGAGATTTTGTAACATGGTTCACTGTACTTTCTACTCAAATTGACAATTTCTCTACAATTTTTCTTTACCATCCTTTTCTGAGGAAGCCAACTTTCTCACTTGACTGTTATGATGGCTGTCAAGTTGTCAAAACATCATTCTATGACTACAACAGGCACCAGACCTTTTCAATGCCACTCCACCTTGACAATCAGACTTCACAATCTGTTGCATTATTGTTGTTTCCTTTGATTTTTTTTGTCATCCTTGCTAAGAGATTGTTAGGAAGGAAAAGCTTAGGTTCCTGATGTGAACCTGACTCAATCAATCATTAAGAAATGCTTAATATTGAGAGTTTCTTCTTTTTTTTTTTTTTTTATATAGGAAAAGCTTTATTTGGCTGAATTTGGGATTTACTTGTGTTTCATTTGTGACTGGTGCCCTAGCATTTTGGGCACCAAAATTCTTGCTCTATGCAACAAGAGCACAAGGAATTTCAGAAACAGAATCAGAGTAAGTATTTCTTTTTTCACAGAAGGGATAACTGGGTCAGGTTGTTGGTAGGGACTGCAGTGCTATCAGTTCTGCTATTCAACAAAAAAGAGAAACTATTTCAACAAAAACAACAAAAAGTCTTAAAGAAATTATATGTGATCAATTCTATCAATTAGATTGCTTTGCCAGAACTCATATTTTTTTGGGTAAGTTGGCATTTTTGTGGAAGACACAAGCAACTTCCATAGAATGGCTAACAAAATTTTGTAGCTGCTGTATTTTCTAATCTCTCACCTAGAAAAGAAAAAAAGTTATTGACTTTACGATATGAATGTTATTAATAATGTTTTATTTTATCTACCATTTAAGGGTTAGCTTAAAGGTTGGAATTATTACCTGTGTCGCTGGTATTGTAGGAGTTTGGCTTGGTGCAGAGATTGCTTGGCGATATAGAACACGAAATAGAAAAGCTGATGCTTTAGTATGTGCTGTTGCATTAATTGGGTCAGCACCTTTCCTCTATGGTTGTCTTGTGCTAGCATCTACAAACATCAAAGTTACATATGTAAGTAGAAATGGTTCATTAATGTAACCCTTTGACCCCTAAGAATTACCAGCATCCAGTTCTCCTTACAGTATCATCCCTGAATCAAACATTAACGTCATGAGAACAAAGGAAATGATCACTGTCTTAAGAAGCTCTTGACTGTTTAAAGTCAAGTCCCTGTGGGTAACAAAAAAATTTACAGAGAACAGTATGGAGAATATGCATAAAACTGTACTTATGATATGTCAGGGCATTGCAAAGGGTTAATTCGTTGTTCTTAGAAACTGTGTGCTCATAACATATTGTTTCTCTTCAAATACCCAGATTTGATAGTCATGTGTGCCAAGTAAAATTTTAATGTCCTGAACTATTATTGATAGTTAAATTTTGTTGCTTAATAAATTCCAGCCTGTTGTTGATTATAATTTATGTACAGTGAGTTACTTCCAATTGTTTTATTTGTTTGGTTACAGGCCCTTATATTCTTCGGTGAAGTTTTACTTTTCATGAACTGGGCACCAGTAGGAGACATGGTTTTGGTAAGATAAAGCCTAGATAAACTGTGACTTAATTGAACACCTTCCTGACTTTACTGGAGTTGGGAAAGAATGTGGCATCAATTGTTTCACTATTAAGGATACTCCATTAAGTAGTAAGTTAACCCTTAAAGAAAGTTTTTAAGGAGAGATACTTGCCTGAAGTCAGTGTACTAAATTTTATTCACTACAAGGTGTTGGAAATACTATGAAAATTATTGTAAAGTTGTCTTATGGTACAAATGCTTGTTTTGTTTGTAGTATATAATAATACCTTCACGTCGATCCACCGCTGAAGCTGCTCAGATTCTTGTTTCTCACTTGTTTGGTGATGCAGGCAGCCCATGGCTTGTTGGAGAGGTAAGATAGCTGAATAGGGAATGCAAAACTTTACATTAAAATCATCTTGTTGTTTTTTTAATTTCACTTAGGGAAATGTTTTTTCTTGCTTTGAAGTTGGATCGTAACCTCAACCTTTTATTGTTTTCACAGATTTCTGATCGTATCAGAGGTGCAGGGAGTAGTGATAAAGATCGTGCACAAAGCATGGAATATTCTCTTTTGATGTCAACCTTTATCAGTGTTATTGGAGGATTCTGTTTCATAATGTGCTCAATTTATCTAGTTGATGATCGGGAAAAAGCAGAGCAGGTTACCAGAAATGAAGATGAGGATACTAATTCATTGTTAAACACAGTCCCCTCAGATGACTTTCTTCAAGCTGGTCATGAAAATGGAGCTGTGGACAATTGTAGTGATTACGATGATGATAATGATGATGATGAACTGTTGGATGACGAGCCAATCTCGCCTGCAATGTCTGAAAGAGAAGCATTGGTTGTCCCAGTAGATGTGCATGGTACACCACCAACAGCTGAGGAAGAACACAACTTTAAAGTTGTCTGATTTATAATCAAATATTAGTTTTTTTACAATTTATAATTATTCTTTTTTTTTAATGAAAAATGGTTGAAAGTGTCATTTCTCTAAGCAATTTTTCTGATTTGCAGTTTCCTCCTAATCTTGAACAGACATACAGGACATAAAAAATGTTCTGCTTTGAGGGAATGTTTTACAATTTGCTCACGTGTGAGTGTAAGGACAATACACAATGAGTTGTGTAAAAATCATAGCTCTGCTGAGACAAGAAAAAGTTGCTCAGAATGGTGACCCAGAATCCAAATTGTAAGTCATTTTCCTCATTTTCTTTAAACAAATCCATCTTCAGCAAGGAAAAAGTACTTGCTGTCCATATGAAAACAATTTTTTGGGGGAGGCAGAGGAGATAGTTGTACAGACATTTCCTTATACAGGTTGAATTATTGAAACATGAAAAGCTTAATATATATGTTGTTTTGGTTGAGATTGTTTGGGGTTATCACTGACATCAACAACACTATGATAATCTCAGTGTCCATTCATGCATTATTACAAATAATCCTCAGCAGGGCTGGGGGGGGGGGGAGGGATATATACAATTACCTATCAGTGACATAGGAAAATGTTTTTGTAACCAGTACCATACTAACTGAGTTCAAGGTCTTAACCACTGTAAGTTAAGGACTGAGTTTTCTCCACATGGATTTATGGTCCAAACACAAAGCATATGGGCCATAAATTAGAATGGAAAAAACCAAGGTACAGTGGGGACTGAGAAAATGAAGTTGGTTTGATATTATATCTCTGAGTTTAAAAAAAGGGAAAAGATTTAAAAAATGATTAGAAATACATTCCACTTATTCAACCAATCATAGTTGACAACCAGTGTCATATTTTAGTGGCAAGATTAACTGCAAAATGGTTTATCTTGCCAGGTATCCTTTTTTTTCAGGCTTGTTCAATGACTGATATAAAAAAGTAGTATACATGTTATGATAAAATTTTTAGACTGTTAAATAAATGTGAAAAAAGCATAATTATTTTATTTAAAAAATCTTTTTATCTGTACATTCAATCATTTTTAATTGTAAGGTCTGCAACATTGAAAAACTCAAAACTTAATGGTACAGTTAATACTGTAGTTACAAAATAAAGGTACATGATAGACACATTTAATAACAAGCAGTTGACCTTCTAGACTATGTACATTCATCATCATTTACCTTGATCACAAACCAATAAAATGTTGATAGCTTGAAAATGATGTTCAGTATTCTGGAATTTCACCTCATAGTAACAGCACTTTTCATGAACAAATGTTGTTCCAGAGGGTTTGAAAGGTTATGTTCCTGGCTTGTGTTTGAAGGATTTTGATCCAATTGTTTGTTTGTTTTTCTTTTTTAAGATAGCCAAACTTTCCCATCCAGCCCTCCCACTCAGTTGATTGGTACATATTATCTTTTTTTGGCCGTTTAAATTTTTAACATTGTTGACAACTTTTGGGCAAGGCTGATTGACTTTCACAACTGTCTTGTGTATGATGACTTCTTGCAGTTGTTCAATGCAGTTCATCTTCATCTTCTTCATCAACTTCTTCATCTGGAGCACACTATGGAGAGATATATATACTGATATATATACATTTTTTATGTCCTGTAATTTGTTATGTGGGCTACAAAAGCTAACAATTATTGCCTTTTTCAGTTTAAAGAAGCAATATTTATAATAACATTTGAGAGTGAGGATGAAAAAACATTCATAGTTACATCACCAACAACATTTTTCCTCTTACTACTCTCTTACACCCTAACATCAGTATGCATGTTATCCATACTGTTCTCTACACATTTCCTAACGTGTTTAGAAAGAGAACTTCTTTAACATTCAAGAACCTCTTTAGTTTGTGACCATTTCCTTTATTCTTGTAAGCTTACTGTTTGATTCAGTGGTCATATTGTAAGGAGAAATTAGATGCTGTTCACTCTGACTTGGGGGTCATTATAAGTAAAACAGGTTGAGAGAGTACTGCACCATCTAAAGTGTGAATTTTATTAACCCTTTAAGTCCCACTAATGACCTTAACAGAATTTCTCCTTAAACCATAAGTAGGATATCAGGCAGGCAAGTAACCAGAGATAAAAAAATGTCAATTAGGGTATTATTGGTTGATCCAATTCAAAATTCTCCAAACTAACTGTATGGCAAACAGTAAGGACAATTACCAATTAAAGGGTTAATAAGAGCCATTATCAAAGTAGGAGGTCCAAGAAAATATGTTAAAATAATGTGTATGAACGATTTGTGGAAAAAACACTCTAAATGCAATCCAATAAAACTGTAGTCCTAAAGTTAAGTTGGAATTACATAATTTACAGGCAGAAACCAACCAAGTATTCCACAAAGCAGACCTGCCCATCTTCATTTACAATCATATACTGCATAGAGAGAAAACCTCTTCCATCCATTCTAATGGAGATTTTGCTTGAAAGCTGCAGTGCCTTGGTAGAAGGTTTCAGAAGGCTGATCCTATATCTATGAACACAGAGACACTTTAACTCACATTTCAGCGTCTAAAATAATGTAGTTACTTCAAGGTTTGTACACATCTATTCAATCTAAGCAATTTTCAAACATTAACTAGTAGTTATCTTTTTATGGCAAGAAAAACTTTTCAAAATATCTCTTTACCATCATGAGATACTAAAGTTCTTAAGATAAGCAAATTAAAGCTAAGTGAGGACATAGTAAAGTGAACCAAATTTTGGTCTCATATGAAGCCAAAGTACCTCTGAGTTAGCCAATTTGAGACAGACATTTTTTATTCTCTGCATTGATACTTGCATGTGATTAAATACAATTTTTTTTGCTTTTTTCACACACCTGTTTGTTTGTGTTTGTTGACATTCAAATGACTCCACCATATCAGAATCTTTTGGAAAATCTGACTGTAAGATAAAGTCAATTTTCATACTCTAGTAATTTCTATTTCTATGACAGTCTTGTTGACCTAACTGTTCATTGCCCTTCATCTCTCAGTAGAATAGTATTTATTCTCTGCTATCTACAGAGTGAAAGTTAAACATTTCCCAAGATCAAATTCAGCAATTGTCCTCTCTGGTTTTCAGGCATTTGCTTGTTAAAAAGACAAACTAAGTGGTGTTTTATCAACATCATACCCCCTAGGTGATTATTTCATTTTCATGACCTGTAAAGGGGGGGGGGGGCCTTTACACCTAAACTTCAGAATCAATATTTTCCATACTTTTCTTTATACATTTCCTTTGGTACTGACAATGAGAATTTAGTCAAGAGAACTGCATATATTATATATCAACTGAAAAGCATCTTGGGATAATTTGGTATCCTGGCCCTAGTTGCTCAAAGGGCAGATAATGCTATGTGATGGATAAATCACTATTTGACAACTGACAGATAAGTGTTAGCCAAGTGAATGGTGCCAGCCACCAGATAGAAATTTATCCAAGGGATGGTGTTATCTACCCTTCATACAACCAGGGCTTTACTTTTTTTATACATTTTCTTTAGTACTGACATGCAGATTTCATTTAACAATCAAAGCTTCTCAGGTTGGTGATCATTTACCAGATACACTTTCTAAAAGGGAATATATGACAGTACCTCTTGTTGTGGTGTGAACACTGAATATGACATGCTTAGACTAAGATCATCAAACCTTACATGGGTACTTCCTGCATATCCAAAGGTTGACAGTCTAAAGTAAGGGTTATCTGGTGACATCAGAATTTGCAGCACTTCACTTGTCATGTCTAGTTCACTGAAAGCCTCCTTCAAACATTCAGACTAAAATATGCAAAAATACGTTTTCTCTATAAATTTTATTAGTCATTTTAAAAATAAGTAGTGCATTATTTAAGCTAAGGCCTTGCAAAGTTGTTTCTTAGAAGCTAATGGCAGACATACTTCAAATTAAAACAAAGATTCTACTGAACAAAAAAAGGGCCAGTTAGTTGCTTCAAAAAACTTTCTGTATAAGAAATGTTATCTTTTCTTACTTTCATAATAATCTTGTTTAGAACATCTGCACCGCTAAAATCAAAATCCAATGTTTCGTCAGGCTCTTGGGTCTGAATGCTGCAATCTGTCAGGATGCCACCTTCCTCCAACCTGTAACATACAGCCAAAAGTAAAATTTCAGATAACAAACAAATACAGGTATGGTACATTGAATAAGACATGAATACATTTTACAAACCCCTGTTACTATTTCAACCAAGAATTGAAACCTCAAAGGGTAAAAAAGAATCATTGGGTTGCAGTAAAGTGCACTATAGCTATTGTATGCTACCTCTCCCCTGTGGATCTCTCCTTAAGGGAGAAGCATGATGAGGACCACTGGAAACCTCTCTAAATACTCACGTGAGAATAAGTGGTGAGCCATATCCTGCATAACACATCTTCATTGCTGTACAAGTTCTTGTATCTTTGGAGGAGCCAAAGATATTGAGACATTCCTAGTTACAAGAACAAATTCATTTCATAATTGTAGAAGACAATTTTCATAAGCACAGGTTTTTCTATATAATGTAAAAGATCCAATCTTCTTCATCTAAGGTATTAAGAATCGTCATTATTATTAGTCACTTTTTTATAAAAATCATATACAATAGGTGTGGCAGGACCCTGACAAAATGTAGAGGTACTAGAAAATGAGATCAATTTATTAATTTTGGTATAAAGCCATGTTAGGAATTTGTGAAATGGTGAGGGTGGCCTTGTGTTAAACAGGCCTCCAGTCCAGCAGGAAGGGGGGAGGAGGAGGGGTAACAACATTCTTGTTCACTGAATGCATTTGAAACAGGATTGAACTCTGGCAGGATGGGGCTTCTGGTAGGTAAGATACTTTACCATACCATTGTTTCCAGTCATGGGGTCAGCAATAAAGTGGCAGTGATTAACATTTAACTTCTCATTATGATATCCTTACATCATCCACAAACAGGTAATGAGAATACTCAAACTTATCAGGAAGAAGTTGTTATCTTGATTTAACACCAAATTCTTATAAATAATTTTCCAGGAGTACTCAAACTTATCAAGAAGAAGTTGTTATCTTGATTTAACACCAAATTCTTACAACTAATTTTCCAGGAATACTCAAACTTATCAGGAAGAAGTTGTTATATTGATTTAACACCAAATTCTTATAACTAATTTTCCAGGGAATGTTTAGCAGCTAGAGGGGAGAATTGACAATCAGATCTGGGAGTTAAAGGGCTAACAAGCTACTGCATATGTGTAATCCTCACCTATTTTGTTACCCCTCTAATATTAAAACAGCAGGAGGCTTCATTCAAGAAGAACAAAATGTAGAGGAATATAGTTTTGAGCAGCATAAATTTACTTTTATTACCAGTAAAATGTTGAGGTTTATCCGGAAAGTGGCACTCTCTTCTTTGAAAACAAACTCCTGGAAGATTCCCCTTTGCACAAAGGCATTGGCCTGTACACACTTCGCATCTTCAACAGTGACCTTGATACCATTGCTACTCACAAAACATGTTGCTGACTGTAGTACAATACAGAAAAAAAAAATTGAAAACAGGTATTTTGTAACAGACTGTCTTATAACCTCCTTTTCATAGCTGCAGCTATATATTTTTTTTAATTATTGAGTAGTAATCCGAGAGAATGAAAACAGATTTTCAGGCTCAAAGGAGAATCATGCTTTCTATAATAAGTAGTAGCTCTGTGAGTTATCTCATGTTGTCGAAAAAAAAAAATGTGCTGAGTCAGAGTCAGTTGCATCATTAGCCTTTCACTCCAAACATTTGTGGGTCAACCACAGAGGAGTAATGGTTAGTGCCCTAGACTGACTGGTATAGGGAAAAAAAAAGATCTGAGAGCTGATTGTCTTGACCATTACCAGACATTTCTTTGTCTTGATATTTATACATTCAAGAAATACCTTATTTCCTGGTTGATAATGTCATATCTTCTCATTACCTATCACTTATTCAAAATTTTGAGGAGAATTTACAAACTAATCACTCTCAAGATTCAAAGGGCTTGATCTATGGCATATCTATGTCAACTCTGTTATAACATTTACGTACCTCTTTGAAATATACAGCTCTCAGAACATTTAGAAGATTACGCGCGTTGTCCAGCTTGGCCACTAGAATATAGCGATTATCATCGCTACTTTGTTGTGTGAGCCTAGACATCTTATTTAACGCCTTAGATTGTTTCGCCAAACTTTTCCAAAATTGAAATCCCCGCGAATATGGGGGTATGCGCCATTTTGCTCTCAAGTCTGCGCGTATTTGCGTGTAATCTGGGACTAGCGTTTGGTAACCGCACATGTTTTGAGGAGCTTAGTATCCAATCTTTTCCGAGGGACAACATGGCGGATTTTTCTTTAACTCTGACAAACATTATTTAGGTTGAAAATAACCCTCCGTGTTAAAGAATAGGGGTTGTCCACGTACATGATGCAAGCAAATACTACCTGAATAAAACCTCAGACTGAATAAAATGGTATGTTTATGAAGCTATTGATGTCATTGTTCAAGTTGTATTTCAAGTGTCTGATTGTTGTTACTTGAATTTGGCGAAAGTTGATCATTTCTGTCGTTTTTTTTTTACATGAGATTCGTCTGTGTGCGCTTAATGATGATTCAAGTGAAGAGAGTGACCACGAACCTACACAGGAAAGTGTCAAACAAGCCAAGGTAGGGAGTACGTTAATTATCAGCTGCAGTTTTACTGTGCAGCTGATGAAGTAATTGCGAATGGAAGAGAAATGAATCAATAAATAAATAAGAAAAAACAAACACACCAAACTAGCCATGTCAAGGGGGGGTGTGTTGGCATAACAATACTTTGAAGTCTGGTTTTAATAGCTGCACTCGTGTTGTGTTTTCGGTAACACAGCCTTCTGACACAATGCCTCGTGTTTAGTTAGGTAGGAGTCTTGTCTGCCAAGTATGACAGGTAACACTATCAAACCTGGTGCATGTAAAGCACTTCCTAGCTGCGTGAAATACAACTTTGCACACATGGCTGTGGGGCTACCTCCTACGTTACAGCTTCTGTGTGTAATGTTATGAATTTGTTGTGAGCTATCAGTGCTATGGCGTGAAGACTTGTATGTACACCTGCCATACTCAGCAGGCTGGCAAGGGGACTGGACATCTTTTCATTCAGGTTTTTTAATGAGTTGTAGTGAACTGTCATAGAAACCTGTCAAAATATTTAGAAGGGGTGGGGTGAGTAGCTTACATGTCATTCAGGTGGAGTGGTAGCACAATTAGACACCTAAAAATAGTTTAGGTTTGTTTGTGGATCAGTTGAACCAAGGGGAGACAACATGGACATGGTAGAAACCCAATCATGCACATCCCATGTAATTACTTCTATTTAAGCCAGACAGCTGTTTGACTGAAAATAAACCATAAATTACCAGTGTTTAATCTGATCAATCTTTTATTGGGTGATTTAGTACCATGAAGGAGTTAATAACATTGATTGGCAACCATATAGAGTTTCAAAGCTGACATTTCAGGGCTCTGATAAAGGGTAAACACTCAAAATGTCAGCTTTGAAACTCTTTATGGTGACGAATTTATGTTATACTTTCCCACCAATGCAGCACCTCAGTTTCTTTTGAGACTTGCCCCCTGTAATCATTTATTGGTTTAACAGGAATCAGAGGCTCTGGAGTTGTACAACAAAGGCCTGGCCTTGCAGCAGAAAGGAGATTATACAGCATCTGAGGAAGCATATAATCATTTGTTAAATTCTGCTTTGGTCAAAGAGGTTAGCGGAAGGCTTGAGAATAATTTGTTCTTAGCAATGTTGTTTTTGATTTATGTTTATGGGAACTACTCATGGGTTCTGTTACAGCTGATAGCTCCTGGAAGGTTAAAGCTTTTATGAGTCAATGCTCTTCCAGCTCTAGTTCTATTCCCTTTCTGTTACAAGATTGTTTTTCTGTGAATTTAATATGAGCTTTCAAGTTTCCTAAAGTAATAAATCGAAATGTTATAAATAACAAGGCTGCATGCAATACTTTCTTTATCAGGCTCTGCCACCAGATGAGGATACTGGATTAGTTGAACCTGGTCATGTATTGAAATACTCAGCTTACAAGAATCTGGCTTCATTAGCAGAGAAGAGAGAACAATGGGAAAAGTCTATAGATGCATATCTTCAGGTGACATAGTTAAAACCATCATTGTTTCATGCTTTATTTTGTTTATCCAACAGAAATGTAAAATCATTTCAGGATTTATTTTTAGTCGAAAAAAAAACAGAGGGATTCATTGATTTAGATAAAATATTTTCTTAGAGGAACCAATGATGTTCCATTCAGTTTCTTCTACATAACAGTCTTTTAATTTTTTTTTCATACATATACAAGAGATTTTGTCACAAACATTGCAGCAGGTTGCTCAGTGAAGTATGCTGAGATCAATTGACCTCAGTCTTGGTGGGAATAAAGGCTATGATATAATGAGACACTTTTGCCCTACTGTTTTGTTTTAATTGCAGGCTGTTGCACTTGATGATTCAGATGTGACAGTATGGCATCATCTTGGAATGGTAGCACTGAAGACATTTGATCTTTGCTTGGCTCGACATTCATTTGAGGAGGTTTGTATCACCCATTCCTGTAAATTACAAGGCACAACTTACAACATTGGATTTAATGACATTGGTACAAGTCTTTCAATAAATAAAAATTCTCCTTCAAAGCAAGTCTCAGTAGAATACATGTGAAGGGAACTGATCATGCTCTGGGCCTTACAATTGAGTTGAATTTTGATCTATCAAAAATAATCATATACTATTAATTTTTTCATTAATTAATGTGAAGAAAGTCTTAAAGTTATACTGTTTGATTGTATTCCTTTCAGTTCTGCAACAGACACTATTTTTTTATTTCTTGTCTTCATTATTAATAAAAGTTTGAGCTAAGGAAAAAAAGTAAACTTTAAAATTTAACCTTGGTTTAAAAAATTTCAAAAAAGAAAATATTGGAAACTCCAACAGTAAAAATGCCTTAGCCTCAGTAATCAGGCTTGATCATTTACCATCCTTTTTATTAAAGATAAGCTTAAGTTGCTGTTATGATTCTCTACGTTGTTTTCTATGTTATCTCACAAAGGGTTTGAAGTGTAATCCAAAGCACTGGCCTTGTTTAGACTTGCTCTGTACAGTGCTGTATGCCATTGGGGATTACTACAGTAAGTTATTTATTGTATGCTTCCTTGCATTTGGAATTTAACCCTAATTACACCCTAACATTAGCATTCATATTCTCCACACTGTTCTCTTTACATTTCCTACAGTTCTGACAGGGAGAATATGTTTGACAATCAGGAGCTTCATAAATTGGTTATCATTTCTTTTATTCTCATGACCTTAATGTTTGATTCAAGGGGGACACAGTAAGGAGTTAATTGTAAGAATATGTTCTATATTTGTGAAAGTTTATTCTAAGTTCAACACCTCAGTACATGTATGTGGACGATATCTTTTTTTCTGATGAACAGCATGCCTAGTTGTGATTTCGAAGGCCTTCGAGAGGGATGAAGAATATCCTAAAGGCAAGCTTTGCTATTTGTATATAATGGAAATAATTTTTCAAAACTTCAATTTGTTGTTGTCCAATTGTAATCATTTTATTTTCAATTGATTACAGACTATAGATTTGTGTTGTTGATTTGATTTTGATTTGTTACATAGTACATGGAAATAATTTTTGGTGGCATTTTTCCTATCACATTAGACCTTTTGATAAAGTTTGTTTTATGTATGCTTAAAATGACGTTATACACCTGCTGAACAATAATTTTTAAGCCTGCAGTATGTAAAAAATATCAATATTTGATTGGTTTATTTGGTTCATGTTCTTAGCCTTGGTGTTTGGCCTAAGCTGGCTTGATATAGCTTACCATCATGCTCACATATATTCAATTGTTAATTGTTAATTTTTTCCAGGTATAGCATTGAAAAATCAGATATTCTCAGAGGAACCACCTCTCAAGAAAGAATCACAACATTTGAGGTAAACCAACACTGGACACAACATTGTTTCTTTTTTGACCTCGTAGATACATACGAGTTTTCATTCATCTCAAACACAATAGAGACTATTGTTTGGTGTTTGACTACAGTTAATGTAACTTTGGATGTTACAAACCTCTTGCCTTAAAATGTGAAGGAGGGAAAACAATATAAAAGCAGGGTTAGCCATTTCTACGGGATATTTATTCTGGAAAGCAAATTTCCATGTTCAGCGAGACTTACCTGAAAGAAGGTTTTCCCTGTTGGAAAACAAGGATGAATCTCTTTTTTCATTGTCTGGGCAAGGTAAATAATTTTACTTGTAGTTAATATTATTATCAATAAACAGAGGAAATGTGTTATTCTTTTAGAAATCTGTTTAATATGTGTTATGCAATGAATGAGGAAGAGCAAGAAAATGAAGAGAACAAGGTATGCTTGCAATGTTTTCATGAAATGATGGATAAATGGGTTTTACTTTTTTGCTTTATTTGTTTGTCTGGCCTTGGTAGTAGACATCACAAGTTGGCATATTGCTTATTTCTTTTAAACAGTTTGTGAAGGAAGCACTTCATCTCAGGGAACAGAGGCTAAAACTTGTTGAAGCAGACAGGGCCCCTCCCCCTCCTTATGCACCCGTCAAGCCTCTGACTTCACACACGTAAGAAATGACAGTCATTGAAGTGTAGTGGTTTTGATTAGGTTGTTGATTGCATAGAGAAAATATCATTTCCTTTTTTTAATTTTTGATAAGGTGGGCAAGTCTGGGAGAATGCTTCATTGCTCTGTATGATCACTTAACATCACCAGAAAATCCTCAGGTATTCAAGCATGATTACTTTCTTCTGTCTTACAATTTGTTGCATTTTGCATTTTCATGGATATTATATGGATTTAAGCAATAGACCACACTGAGTATAATGACCCAATCATGAGCTGAAGGCTCTTGTGCTCTCCCAACACCATTTGTGAGTTATTACATGGGTAAACCAATAGAAAGTGCAGTCTATTACTTTTCTGAAATAAATATGAGTTAAATGGTGCAATTTATATATATTTTTAACCAATCAGGGTTCTCATAGTATCTCAGCTATATTATAACATGTCATTATTTTATGCAGTCAATTAATTTTTTAAAGTTTGAAATAGTGTTAGGAGAAACAAAGTGGAAAATAAACATGACAATGTGTAATTGCTGTTACAGTTATTGGGTGCCTACTTCAGTTGTAATTATAGTGGATTTATAATGTAATTGTTTGATAAGGACAATGGAATTGCTCCGAGTTATTGGTAACTAGTAGAGTCTGCACTGAAAGTACATGACTGGATAGCAACATCATAGGATACCTGACCAAACCACATTAATATCATTGTGGTAATTGGCTGTACATGTATTTACTATTTTCTTACAGCCGCTTGGTCGAAGAGTTGATTTGGAGGAGTACTACAAAGCCATTGTCACTCCAGGTATGTGTTATTCCTTGTTGTTCTCCAAAGTGTGCACACTGTCATTTTTTTTAGTTTAAAGGGTCATACTGCCAGGGATCAATCAGTCACAGTGTTTTCTTTTTCTTTGTTGAAGACATCTCCATGTCCTACCGAACATCTGTTGTTAAAGTGCCAGATTATTCAAGTTCCAGTTTTTCTACAGAGGGATTTTCAGTGTACAAGAATGTCCAGACAGGTATATGTATAAATTTATAACTAAATATATGGAAAGACTCAGAGATTGATCTCAGAAGCCTAGCAATACCAAAGTACCAGGAAATTAGGCAGTTGTAATGGAACAGAATGGTATTTCCTCTGGAGAGAAGCTTTGAGCAGTATTTGCAGTTACTAACAAAAGAGTTCAGATCTAGTTACCTATTGACATTTCACCTAGGAGTTTGGAATAAAAAAAAAACAAAACAAGGATGAATTGCATTGTACAATTTTAAAAGATGTCTCTTGAGGCTTAGGAATTGTGGATGGTTTTGTTGGTAGGTGAGAGTGAGGAGAAGAGCAAAAAAGGACCAAAAAGAAAGAAACCTCCTCCAAGTGCCATTGATGATTTTCTTCCCAAGAGAAGATCAGCCAGGGTAAGCTGGATTTTAATTGCAAAGATTCTTTAATCCCTGAAGGAATTTCAAATGTAGCAGTCTCTTTATTGTATTCTAAACTCAGATTTTGGTCATGCATCCTCTGAGAAACCCCCTTTTTTTTCATCTCTGAGTAGACTAACATGAAAGAGAAGGTATTGAAATTGCTTTTATTATTTCTCTTCAAAGGTGAGAACAAACAAGAAGAAGGAAGAGGAAATAAACTACAGGGAATTGGTGCAGTCATTTATTCCTTCACTGTTCAGGTTTGTTTACCTGGGGACTTGTAAAGGTGGTTGAAAATTCAAATGTTTGGAGTTATCTGGGGTAAAATTTACAGTCATTCCTTCACACTTGGGAATGTGACATAGGATCAAAATGTTGGAAAGATTAAATTGTCTGACAGGTGGCTTAAGACAATGTATTTTGCTCTGACAAAGAGCTCACACTGGAAAAATCAGCTTTAGGCACTCTCTATGGTGCCAAATTTACAATATCAACTTAATTGATAGACCAAATTATCTTGTAATACTCATCCATGGATGAAGCACCACAATTTCTTTAGAACCTTACTCCCTTTTTAAAGACAATATGATGTAACCATATTTCCCAAATATTCTGGCTGATTAATTATATTTTATTAGTCTATGGGTAGAACCCCTGGCCAGTAGACCTTTCATACTTTTTTGCGGCATTCTGCCTTTTAGAGTTGGGAGATAAAGAGCTTTGCAACAGTGATTTGTTATGAACAGTTTTCCATTTAATCTGTCACTTGGGGTGAGTTTCATTTTCCACCAGTAATTAGTTTTGTCATTTTTTGTTCAGACCCAGTGTAAGTGTAGATGATGAAAGTAGCCAGGACAGTCTCACAGATGGCTCACAGTTTAGTCAAAGGTATTAGACATTATATACTTGTAACTTTTGTCATCTAATTTAAATAATGCATTTCTTTCTTTGTGATTCCTACATGGAAATATTATTGAGATCTTTGGAGAGTACTTAAAGTTTAATCAAGGTCTTTTCAAGGTTCTTGATGAAGATTGTTACCAAATCTGATCTTTTAAAATCTTACAAAGTTATTGGAAGAGGTTGGAAGACAAGATCTTCTTAACAATTTTCATTAAGGAGATCATGGAGATCTTGAAAAAAAATGTCACAAGATTTTGACGTAAATCTGTTACTGAAAAGATAACTGGCAACCTGGATTCTACAATAAAGCAACTGATAATCCTGAGTTCAAAGCATCCACTCTTTTTGTTATTGTCAATTATAGAAGCAGCCAGTCACAAGCTACTGAAGGGAAACCTGGAGAAGGTAAGACATACAAGTAACTTTAATGGCCCACTATGTGCTCACTTATGTTTGTCAATTAGCTGCTAGTTTGGGAAAGGGAAATCAGGCCTCCAGAGGGGAAGGGAGAAAGGAAATAATTCCTCCAGAGGGGGAGGGAGAAAGGGAAATCATGCCTCCAGAGGGGGAGGGAGAAAGGGAAATCATGCCTCCAGAGGGGGAGGAAGGGATGAAATAAGGTTGATTCTGATGCTCACTTGGATGACATACAAACTAGGTAAGCAAAGTAATCACAACAGCCAGTCACAAAAAAGAATATATTACAAGAAGCCACTGAGAACTCAAATTTAAAAACAAGAAAACTGCTCAGGGGTAGAAAAGGTAGTTTTATCAGAATTATATTCCTTTCTCTTTGTTTTGAGTGCATGGTGGTTGGTTGGGGAGAGAGGGAGTTGCTTGATAATGAGACCAAACAAGGGCTGGGATGGAGGCCAGGGAAAATGTAGTGCTTGGTTTTCACTTTTGCATCTAATTGATTGAGAGGGTGGCACAAGTTTCTTAGACTAACCAGATCATTTACAGGTAAAACCGTACAATCTTAGCTTTCTCCCTACGCTTAATTGAAAATTGTTTTAAAAAATTGCATAATTATTATTTTACTACCATACACTTGTCATGATTTGGTTTGCCAAACCAGCTGACAGGAACAATTATGATGAAGTGATCACTGGGGAAGCTGAGGCTTTGGACATTCTCACCTTTGTCAAAGAGCACATGGAAAATGGGTAGGTTACAATTTGTATGTTGGTGGATTAAAGGTGGATCTAACATTGACACAAATTGGGCAACAAATTGCATAGTTGAGAATATTGTGAAATAAGGTCATAAATCAGAATTAAAATAACAGCACTTATTGCTGTTTTTTTTCCTGTCATTTCAATAATGAATCCAGGTTAACTATGATGCTATTTATATATCCTTTGCCTTTCCAGTCTCTTCTCTTGTTCCATGCTCTGTTTCTACTTATTCTGATGTTAATTTTCAAGTTTCCTTGACTTTCCATTGACTTTGGTAATGGTAAAACAGACTGTGATGTGGATCAGTAAGAATGTTCAAACCCCTTAACCCAAGAGTGACAACCATCAAATTTCTCATCACAGTATCATCCCTGAATCACACATTAACATCATGAGAATAAGGGAAATGATTGCCAGCTAAAGAAGCTCTTGATTCTTAAACAAATTCTCTTTGTCAGCACTGTTGGAAGTGTATAGAGAACAGTATGGAGAATTAACCCATTCTGATGACAGAGTGATCTAAATTATTATACCTAATCCTCATGCTGACAAATGTTTTTCTTATTTAAACAACAGTGGAATCATTGATGTAATGAATCAATATGGGATATGCCTTGCAGCTCAAAACAACAAAAAGTGGTGAGTGGCAGTTAATTTTGCTCTGATTTTTCCCCATTTGGTTAAGAATTAAGGATAGACCATTTTTAAGTGCACTTCCTTCTCCAAACCTAGCGTCGCTCACAAATTGACTTTGTGGTTGGTTCCTATCCTTTCTTAGGGGATCTTTTCTATTTTCTTCCCTTTTCTTGCCCTCTGTAAAAAAACCAATGATCCCTATCCCAAGTTGACAGAGAAACAGTGGACAATAAGTCACTTTTTGGATTTCCAAGACCCAAATTTTAGCTGGTCCAATTCAGAATCTTTTTTACACTTTGATTTTTGTTCAATTTTTTTTCTGAAATTTTGTGGTCATGAACCTGTTAATGTGATCTTTGGGAAGTACTGTAAATAAAATGATGAAATGAACCTACATGTGGGGGTGATTTTCCACATTTTTTTGATAAAATATGCTGTTTTGTGTGTTTTGTTGGTTGATTAAATTTTTTTTCTGTTCATCTCTTTTAGGCCTTCAGCCTTGGCAGACGTCTTCCTTAAGACCTATCAAAGGATGAGGAAACATGTTATTCTTCCTTCTGAATTTTGGTGAGTCTTCATCTTGTCATAATACCTTTGCTGAAGAATTGCTAATGGGTGAAACACTCTGTAAAAAGTTGAAATTCCCTGTGCGAATTGTTACTCAATGCTGATGAAAGTTTGTAGTGTAAAAAGAAATGCTGTATTTAGTCTATTTTCAACTGAGGAAAAAAAAAACAGTTCTTGTAGAAACTAGAAGTTTTGTACAGCATATTTTGTATTAAGTATGGTAAAGTCCACCGTTTGGGTGGAACTAAGAGCAAATAATTGTTTCATTTTTCCTTTTGTTTATATCAGTGATGATCAAGATTCCCTATATAGAACAAGAATGGCAAAGGTATATTTATGTTAAACCTTTACACCCTAACATCATTATGCATATTCTTGATACAGTTCCCTACACATTTTATGGTATTGACAAGGAGAACTTTGTTTAACAATCAATAGCTTGTTTGGTGGGTGATCTTTTCCTGTATTTTCATGACCTTAGTGTTTGATTCAGTGGCTGGACTGTTGGGAGAAATTAGATGCTAGTCTCACTCTGAGGGGTTTAAGAAGAAGTAGAACATGTGGAAAACTTGTTATTCAAAGGCAGTGTTTATGAGGTGCATTATTAACCAACAAGTTTTTTTATTTGTTATCAGCTTGTACTTGTGGTCAGTGAGTTGACGCTTGACAAACTCCTCACAGCAAAGTCAAAATCCTCATCTAGCCTCTCACCTGCTAGTTCACCGCGTGGGTTAGTGTGTGTGGCCTGTCTTGTTTATATTCTGCTGATTGTTTGTTTGTTTGTTTGTTTTTTTTTTACATTTTCAGTCACTTATTGGTTCTTTCTTTCATTTATATATTAATTGATTGAGAATTGATTGTATGATTTGTTGATTTCTTAGAAAAAAAAGTTGTCTTCCTCACGATTCAAGTCACTCATTATCACCAGAGTTTCTGTCAGTTTTTGTTAGTAGCGTGAATTAAGTAGGAGTGTTGCTTCTTATCTTCTCTAAGGATGCTAGTCCAGCGCAAATTGTCTCCCCTTGCTTTTCACCAGCATTCAGTTTTCAGCTGTACTTCTTGTTGGACAGAGGCAATA